GTTGGGCTGGGACCCGAGGCATCGCGCGCGCGGGCCCCATCGATAGGATTGCCAAGCCCAGGGTCGCATGGGTTGGGCTCAAAGCCCAAGGTCAGTACATGGTGATGCCATGCATTCGTGACGGAAGACCGACTCCAACGAGCGGAAGATATCACGGACGGGATGTGCACTTCATGTGGGCAAACCTGACTGTCTAGTCCTGAGGTGGAGGAGGCGCCAGATGCCGCTCAGGCCACCGACACGCCCTGGCAGCAGGCGAAGACCGGTGACAACGAGGCTTTTTTCCACCGACCTTCTTACCCTCCGGCGATTCTTTGGCGGGCGAGGGCTTCGACACGGACCGAGCGACTGCTGCTGGTGACTCGTGCGTGCCACTGGCCATCGCTCGGACGTCCATTCCCTGTGTTTTTTTGGTATCGTGCGTGTTTTTTTTCGCCAGGTGATCAAGGATGCTCCTCGATGGTCCTTGCCGAAGGATAACTGCACATGTCCGAACGATGCCAAGCTCGTGCGGGGCAGCGAGGGACCGAGCTCTCCAGCTGCGGCTCGCACGCGGGCCCACACCTCTGTGCCGGCGTGCGGCCGCACGCGCTCCGGTGAGTGTAGGAATGCTGCAACACTCGCCATCGCTCGGACGTCCATTCCCTGTTTTTTTCGGTTTCGCCAAATGATCCAGGATGCTCCTCGATGGTCCTCGCCGAAGGAAAAATGCACACGTCCGAGCGATGCCAGGAACAGTGCGCAGCAGAAGGGCGGCAAGACAGGAGGAGCCTCGTCAGAGGAGAGCCACGTCGGCGCACAAGGGTCTGGCGGTGTCTGGTACCCTCCCTGCCTCAGAACAGGTGGCTCGACAAGCCAGCATGAGGGAAGGTGTCGAGGTCGAGCAAACGACTTTGATGCATTCGCAGCCCTCGTCGGCAGAGCGTGAGCAGCTTAATAGCTCGCCCAATTACCTCGAACTGGTGGGCCAGGTCGCGGCGGCCACAGTGTCGCTCTATCTGAGGATTGTGCACCACATGCCCCCAAAGAGGGAGCGTAAGTGTCAGCTTTTAGCCAAACAGTAAGCTGAAGGCTGGCACACGTGGGAGCCCAGTCTGTGGGACCATAAATCTGCGAGCTGCCTGGTCGTCTTCGGAAGTGAGGTTGACGATCGACCCCAATTGGGGTGCACGGGCCTCCCGAGGCTGGTCCAAGAGCTTTTGGAGTCGGCCCCAGAGAATGAGCATAAGGTGGCTAGCACACACACATGTGTGTGTTTGTGTGACGAGCCCCCAATTGCATGTTGGGTGGGTACCATCCCCAAGCTCGGCTCCATGAGCGGGCTGAAAGGTGCAACGAGTACCCTTTGAGCAATGCCATGGCCGCGCCGAGCAGGCTACAGCGTGGTCTGCATCCCAAGCGCGACGTTAGCCACTGGCTGCGCGGAACTTGAAGCTCCGTTGTCTCGCCCCCGAGGTCCGTGCTTCTGCATCGTCCTGGAGGCCGCAGCAGCGGGCTGCGCATGCTGTGTCTTTGGAAGGCCTGGCAACGCTGTGGCGCAGCGATGCTGGTTGTCTCAATGGTCCCTCCCGAAAATCCCGCCTCCAGTCCCGCCCTCCTCCTCCTCCTCCTCCTCCTCCACCAGGCATTGGAAGTCCGGGCCTCCAAAGAGGGCTCAGGTTGCCCCTGAACCCCCAAGGAGTACACAAGAGCCACAGATCCCTCCCATGCTTGTCTGCCCGAGGAAAACGGAGGACGATGCAGGACGAGGGAGGGCAGGGCCTTGGGAAGGAGATGGACGAGGGGGAGCGAGGATGCCACGATATGCATGTTACTGTTTACCTCTATGGCATGCTATGCTATACCATGACGCGGCATGAGGTGATATCATACACTATCATATGGCATGCCATGCTATATATATACACATATATATGTATGTATATGCACGCATGCATGTATGCATACATGCATGCATGCGTGCGTATACGTGTATATATAGAAATATATGCACGCATGTATGCATTTATTTATGTATGCATGCATGCATGCACGCACATATGTGTGTGTGTATGCATGCATGCATATCGGCATGACTGTATGCATGCATGCATGCATGCATGAATGCACGTGGGAGTATGTATGCATGCATGCGTGTACGTATGTATGTATATCTGTGCGTATGCATGCATGTATATAGGTATGTACGTATGCATGCATGCACACATGTAGATATGCGTACAGGTAAGTATAGATAGGTATTCATGCATGCATGTCTGTATGTATGTATGTATGTATGCATGCATGCATGCATGCATGTATGCAATGTATGCAGGTATGCCTGTATGTATGCATACATAAATATGTATATATATATAGATGTAATTAGGTAATTCTGTTTGTATGTATACATGCACGTGTATGTATGTATGTATGTATGTATGTATGCATGTATATATGTATGCATGTATGTATGTATGTATGTATGTATGTATGCATGTACGCATGTATGTATGTGTTTTTGTGTGAGTGCATGCACGTCTGTATGCATGCCTATATGTATGTATGCATGCATGCATGTATGTGTGTATTTATAAAGACGCTTCCTGGAGGGGTAGTTGGTTGGTGGTGGGCTGGGCCTTTTGGACACCTGCCTGGGCGTGGCCCCCGCGGGTGGGGCAGTATGCGCGAGAGTGGAGGTAGGATGAGGAAGGGGAGAGGGAAGGAGACACAAGGGCAGAGGGAGGACATAGGAGGGAGGAGAGAAGGGACGAGGGGAGAAAGGTGGGGGGCGTGGAGATTCACAAGAAGACGGGCGGGCAACAACCCCTTCGTCGCTCCCTGGTCTCCCCGGGCTGCCGGAGGGTCCGGGGGCAGAGACGACGACTCGACGAGCTCGTTCCACTGCTCGCAGGGTGGCTGCCCGCACATGGGCCAACTCCGCCGCAAGGGAATCTACGCACCATTGCACAGGAGGAAGACACTTTTTTCTACATGGACGTTTGTGCGAGTCGGCACTGTTGAAGGGGCCCTGGGACACACAAGTAAATACACACAAATAAAAGAATTCCTCATATTATCCTACATTTTCCGGGTTTTCGTCTTCCCCCCCACTTCCCCTATTTTCCAAGATTTTCCGGGGGGATCGACGGTTCATTGTGTCTGTGTTTTTTTTTTCCCCCTCCTGAACTGTGCGAGTCGTGCAGCCTGTTGGGTGAACGACTCTCGCCGCCTCGCCTCCCGCGTGCGGTGGCGCGCCAGGTGCCCCGCGCGTGCTCGGGCCGGCGGCGGGCTCCCTGCCGGGGGGGGGGGGCCTCCGAGGGGGCTCCTCGCCCTGCCCGCCCCCAACTGGTCGCGGCCCCTGGCCGTGGCGCCCCTCGGCTGGCGGGCCAGCGGCGGCGAACGGCCGGGAGCGCGGCGTGGTTCCGAGCGGACGCGGCTCGGGAGCCGGGTCTGGACCCGAACGGTGTTCTTCGTGTCCGTTTCGTGTTTCGTCCTGTCTCGCTTTGCCTCCGCTTCGCCTCGCCTGCAACATAAAACGAACAGCACAGCGGCTCACGAGATGGCCAACGCACGCTTTAGGTCCAGCCCTGTCGTGAACTGGCGTCGGTTGCCTATGCCCTCTTGCTCCTAGGCTTGACTCCAAGTGCCCCAGGATGCCAGGCCACATGCTGCAACTGCGAATCGTTGGTGTGTTTTCAGTCTCAACGGTAACTCCTGGTGGTCGCGGCTGCAACCGTCCGTTCGCAGTTTCTTACGCTCCCGTGAAAACGAGGAACAAACCTCGAGGTGTTTTGTCTGTTCTTTCAATGACGCAGCAAATATTGCTCTCTAGGCTGGCGCCCGCGGGCCAGATGAAGTGGCTCCGTGACTTCGAACGCCTTCATGAACATGGCAGACTTTCTGACCAGCCATAACTGGGGGAGCTGCGGTCCTTCCCCCCCTGGGGGAACCCATCGCATCGACGACCTCTCGAGAGGGGTCTCGAAATCGATAGGTCCCCCAGGGGGGTACAATGCGGGCGCGGCGGCAAGAAACGCTCGCAAGAAACCCAACCCTGGGAACCCGTGCGCGAGGTACACCTGAGGGGAAACCCGGAGCACCCTGGACGCAGCAGCTCCTTCAACGGCTGCGGGAAGTCACCGCGCAGCGCGAGGAGCGAAGAAACCCAGGATACCCTGACGAAAAGCAGATGGTTTCTTGATGCGCGCCCCCACTGTAGGTCCCCCAGGGAGGCAAGGACCACAGCTCCCCCAGCTGTGGCTGGCCTGCCTTTGGGACCCAAGGACTGATTGCAAGGTTTTCCGCTGCGTTCGGACGCTCGGCCCGTGCAGAGGTCGCCTGCGGAGCTGCAAGAAGGCCGCTCTCTTTGGACCAGGCTGCGAGGGCACAACACCTTTTGCAAGGCGAAGGTGGTCGCTCGGGATGGTGGGCGGGCTGGGAGCGGTGCGGTGGGTGATCTGCTGCTGTAGGGGAACTGGGACACACAAGTAAGTAGACACAAATAACCATATTCCCCTACATTTTCCAACATGTTCTGGGTTTCTGTCTTTCCCCCCACTTCCCATATTTTCGATATTTTCTGGGGAATCGACGATTGATTGTGTCTGTGTGTGTTTTTCCCCCTCCTGAGCTGCATCGAGTGTGCGGGGGGCTGACTGCTCGTGGTCTGGCGTGGCCCCGCTCCCCGGGAGGTCCGCCCTACGAAGCACGCGCCCTGGTGTCCGGGGCAGGCGGCATCGGCGCCTGCCTCCAGCGGGTGCAGCGCCGTGCGGTGCGAGGGAGGGCGGAGGGAGGGTGGGAAGGAGGAGGAGGGGGGGGGAGGAGGAGGAGGAGGAGGAGGAGGAGGAGGAGGAGGAGGAGGAGGAGGAGGAGGAGGAGGAGGAGGAGGAGGAGGAAGAGGAGGAGGAGGAGTAGGAGGAGGAGGAGGAGGAGCGATAGGGGGGAGGCGAAGGGGCCCAGCAAGGCGCGACGAGGCGCGGGGGGAGGGCCCTTCGCGCACACCGAGCGGGGGCGCGCGCCCTCTGGTCGGGCGGCGATGTCGTCGTCGCGGCAGTGGATCGCCTCGGCAGTGGCCCCAGGAAAAGCGCGAGGGGGGGCAGTAGGGGAACAGACGACGACATACCGTGGAGGCCAGTCAACAAGGAACCATCCACAAGAAACCCAACCCGGAGACCCCAGGGTGTCCATCAAAATTTTGGTGTGGGAGCGTCGTGATTTTCCAGAGCAAAGCCATCGAAACCCGAGAACCCAGGGCACATTGGAGGCAAGCAGGGTGTTTCTTGGCATGGGCCTCCACTGTAGTTTGCGTGACCCAAAGGGGGTCCAGCTGAAAAGGTGCATTATATCTGGGGCAATTGTACTGCAAATGTGGAGACTTGTATTGCATTGTCTTGCAAGTAATGTATTGCACGCCAAAATCCAGCAACACATTTGCGCCCCGGGATGTATTGCACGCCCCAAATGTATTGCAACCCCATCTACTGCACCAAATCTATTGCACCACCCCCAGCGACCCCATTTTGGGTCAACCCGATGTAGGGGAACAAGCAATAACATAAACACAAAACACGTTGAGGCCCGCGCGGGAATCTCGGATCGGCGCTGGGGCCCGCTGGCGGCGCTTCTGGCGCCGCTCACGGCGCGCCCCGCGCGCCAAGGAGGGGGGTCCAACACCGATCCGAGAAATCTGCGCGGACCTCTGTTTGTTCCCCGAATCGAAAGACGCGCGTGTGCGCGTGTGCGTGTGTGCGTGTATGTATGTGTGTGTGTGTGTGTGTTCGTGTGTGGATGATCTCCCATACCTATCCTATCCTTTCTTGTGCCCGCTGCCCCGCCCGGCTAGTGGAACACACACAACGCTGTATGTATGACATGGGAGAAAAGGTGACGCTTTCATCCTAGTCTTTCACATCGTCGCTGCGGCCTTGACCGGCGGACACTCTCGGGGGGATCGGCCCTTCGGTCGCTTCTTCCCTCACGCAAGTGGCGGGTATAGGACAGGGGAGAAAGGTAAAGCTTCCACCATCGTGTTTCACACCGTCGTTACCGCCTTTACCGACGGACGCTCTGGAGGGAATCGGCCCTTCGGTCGATTCTTCTAGAGGCTCCCTCGATGGGGTCCGAGTAGATGGGGTCTCGAAACATCGCGCCGCATCGCCAACATATCGCCGATGCATCGGCGATGCATAGGCGACGTCGGCGTGGGGAAACACGGGCTCCACATCGAGCCGCATCGTCGATGCATCGGCGATGCGGCGCGATCCTCCGACCCCATCTAAAAGACCTAGACACTCTGGAAGGGATCGGCCCTTCGGTCGCTTCGTCCCTCACGCCCACAAGGGGCGATGGAACGCGCCTGGGCGGTCCGGAAAAATCCGGGCGGGCAGTTTTCCCGTGCGCACGGGGCATCGCTGGACCCAAACCCAGACCCACACCCGAACCCACGCACACGCAAACGCCCACACCCACGCCCGCGCCCACGCCCACACCCACACCCACACCCACACCCGCACCCACTCCCACGCCCAGGCCCACGCCCACACCCACGCTCAAGCTCACACACACGTCCACACAAGCAGCCCCCCCATTCCTGGCCGGGGCCGCTCTGGGCCCTGGCATGTCAGGGGGCGGCTCATGGGATGTTTTCGTGAAGCACGATTCTCCGACGAAGCCAATGCTGGAAGTGGTCCTGGCCCGAGGTGTCCCCAGCCCTTCGCGCCATTGTGGGGCCCCGAAGGCTCCCTGGGCCTCGTGGGGAGTGCTCTGGAGGCCATCTAGGCTTCCCCGGGAATCCTGGGGACACATTGGGTCAGGGACACCTTTGGCAACACCCGGAATACGAAAACAACATCGGGCGAAGGTGAATCGGGAATCTCTGATATCGGGCGTCTCTGGAGGATGTCTCCGGCGCCGCGGCCTTCTCAGAGCGCTCCGGAACGCCATGGAAGCGTGCCGAAACGCCCTGCAACGGATTGCTGGATTTGTAACTGCTTTGTCGTCGTCATAGCCCGGTCCGGCAACATGCCAAACAGCTGGATAGGCCCAGGGCTAACCTGCACTAGCCCATATGGAGCGGAGTCGGCGGGAACTCGGAGAGACTATGGACTTGTGCCAGATTGCGACGACGGATATACCAGCGCCGATGCTGAACCAAACCTCCCAGGAACTGCGTGGTAAGGCATGATGGGCACGCCCTCCTGGCCGCGGCCAGGAGGGTCCATGCACCATTCTAAGGCCTCCGCGACGGCACTGGCCAGGGATGGTGGCTTGTGACCGATTTCGGGTCCCACGGACTCGCCCGGAATAGGAGGGAGCTGCTCTTGGTGGGGACAACTGGCGACGCACACGCAGACACAGACACATACACAGACACACGCGCACAGCGCGCATAACACACAACGCACAACGCACAACACCCACATCACACACGACACACAATACCTAACGCACATCACACACAACACACAACACACAACACACGCAACGCACAAAACACTCAACGCACACAACACACACCATGCACAACACACACACACACAACACACATCACACAACACACGCAAAACACATACAACATACAAACATACACACGACACGCAAACACACAACACACACAACACACACAGCACATACACGGCACGCACAACGCACAACGCACACAAAACACACACACACAAAACACACAAACACCCTCTTTTTGTGTCCGCGCGACAGTCAGGCGCTGGTCAACAGTCGGCCGGGTGCACTGGAGGCGAACGGAGGCATAAAGGCGAATCCGGCAAAGAACGCGAGAGGAGAAAGGAGGGGCCCGCTTAGACCATGACGTACATCGGCGCGGGGGTGCCGAAGGCGAGCCTGGCAGCATACAGACATTGGATGGAGAGGATTGGGAGCCAAGAAGATCCGCAATCCCAGCCGAGCGGGGTGGAGGCCAACGCTGCCCCGCGCAGCGCTTTTACCCGCTTTGCCTGAACGGTAACTACAGTCACTGACCTCAGGCCTGGCCAAGAGGAGCGGTAGAACGAAGGCGGCGGAGGATGGACACTGGAGGAGGCGAGCGGGCATGCGTGGCCTGGTCCAACAAGCGAGGTCCCTTATGCACATTTCTTTTCAAGCGCGGTTTTTGATGAAAATCTGATCATGATCTGTACTAAGAAGCGCAAGAGGGACGGAATACACGTGCTTGACAACGAGTGAACCTGAACGTGAGTGAGTGTGATCGTAATTATTGTGCATGTGTATGGGTCTTCTTTTGAGTCGGTCCAACTGCGAATGCGTTCGACTATGAGTGGGACAGGTTATGAATGGGTCTGAGCATGCGTAGATCTGAGTGTGAATGAATCTGAACTTGAGCCCCGATGGGTATGAACGATAGTGAGTGAATGGCCCAATGTCGTGGAGCCTGAGAACGAATGGTTGGATGTGGTTTGAACGAATCTCAATACGAGGTGCGCATGACTTTGAATTGGACTGATTACGAACATGTCTCGATCTGAGTCGGAATCTGGAACAAACCGCCGACCCTGTCGGCGTGTGGAAGACGCTGTTCTGTTTGACTCGTCGTCGTCGTCGTTGCCGCCGCCGCTGCATTCGCCGCCTCACCCCCCCTCACTGGGCCCGTCGCCGCTCCCCCCTCCGTTCCCTTGGCCCTCCTCCGCAGACGCGTCATCCAAAGCGAAATTGAGCACCGTCGCTGTTGAGTTGACGGGGAGCCCCTTCCCTGTGATCCGTTCCCCGCAGGGGGTGTCCCAAGGGTGTGTGTGCTGAAACGGGGTGTTGAAAAAAAGGTATACCGGATCACGCTGCCATCCCCGCTGGGGGGATCCGGGGCCTACAAAAGCATCAAGACTGGCCAATCGTGCCCCAAGAGGTCCCCGAGACGGTCCAAGAGGGCCCCGAATCGCTGAACGATCGGTCCACCACGCTAAAGATGGCCAGGCGGCCCAAACGGCTTCTAAGACGCCCCAAGAAGCTTCCAAACGCGCCCCCGAGAGCTAGGGCTCCCAAATTCGCGCTTCGCGCTCCGCGAAGCGCGAATAACTTCGCGCTCTCGCGCCGTCCCCCCAAAGGGAGAAGAGGAGGACGAAGAGAAGGGGGAGGAGGAATGAGGACCGCGAAGCGCGAATGACTTCGCGCCCTCGAGGGCGCCCTTGCACAGGCAATATCAATGAACTCTCGGGCTTTGACAGATGTCGTGTTCTTGCCTTTTTCGGTCTCCCAGCGTTCCTAGACGGCCCAGGCCCCCAACATCGCCCCAAGACGGCCCAAGAGGCCTCCAGGAGGGCCCCCAGGAACGACCCAGGATGGCCCCGTGGGCCCAAGATGTCCTCACCAAGGTCTAAGCGCAACACCAAGTGTCGCCACCCCTGGGTCCGAAGACCAGAGCGAAAACTTCAGTGTCTTCACTCCGTGTGGGGCTCCACCAACAGAGCCCGAGCTCTGACCAACAGACAGACTCAAGCCCTGACACGGTCCAAGAGGCCTCCAAGACGGCCCACGAGGCCGCCAAGACGGCTCCAAGAGGGTGCCCAGACGGGGGGCCCGAATGGACATCTCGAACCCTCGGCCCTGAGGGGCCCCCACGAGGCCCGCAAGCTGCAGCCAACAGGCCACAAGAGGCCCGCCCCCATGAAAAACCAAGAGGCTTGCGAGCCCGCTGGACCCATGCCCAGCTAGACCCAGACACAGGACAGTCGCGCTGTGGACGGAGGCAGCTGAGCGCCTTGTACATGCTGTTGCCAGCGTGCGACTCGGCCATCGCGTGCGTGAACCCATTCTCCCTGGGCGCGGATGGCGCTGCAACCACTTGGCTCAAACGACTCCAGCTCGCTCACGGAAGCGAGACTGGCTTCGGATGATTCCGATGGGAAGGCCGGCGGCGAGCGAGAGGGGGAAGCGAGAAGGCGCGGGCCTTCTCAGAAGGCTCGGCAGTCCCCTGGACCTCTGGGAAGTTTTCCAAGCCTTCCCCGAAGACGCAGAACACTTCTCAGAAGGCGCGAGGGCTTCTGAGAAGTCCCGCCGCCTTCCGAGAAGGCCTTCTCCTTCTCACTTCCCCCTGGGCGCGCCACTGAATTTGGCTTCTGGGTCGTGACTCGGCTCTCCAGTGGCCGTTCGGGACGATCTGGGCATCCCCGGAACGCTCTCGACGAGGCGCAGCCGCTGGAACGTTTCCCGAGGGCGGAAGGCCGCCGAGAAGCTACGAAAACGCCCGAAGACCTCGACCATCGAAGCTCGAACCTCGAAGTCCTCCCCTCGCTCGCCGCCAAGAAGCACGGGCATCCTTCTCCGACGCATCCCGGCGAGGCGCGGCGCGTCCAGTTGCCGCAGCGCTTCTCCGCAGGGCTCTCGCGCGATCCGAAGCCCTGCCAGAACTTCGTCGCCCGCTCACCGACTTCAAAGGGCACACTTTCTGCGGTCCCTGGACTGAGCCACCAAGCACAAACATAACAACCAGCACCGACGCGATCCACAAAATACGAACATCAGAATCGAAGGCGACACCGCAAACACTGGCAATGCCGCTGACCTTGTAAACCAGCGTGGTCAACGTCGCTTGGTGCTGCGTCACTCAGCGGGGGGGGTATTCAAGAAGAAGACATCCGCCACCGTGCCTGCACGGAAGGGGCGTGTTGAAGCGCTCTTCCGCTGTCTTCGAGGTTTTGGGACTATTTTCCGGGCCGCGCCCCCTCCTCCCTCCCGGCACGCGAGCGGTTAGAACACCGTTCCCTCTGAGATTGCGTTCTGGCACTCTTTTCTGCCTCCAGACGGCCAGGAGGGCCTTCATGGCTTCTCAGACAGCCAAGACGATACCCAAACGGCTCAAGACGGCCCAAGACGGCTTAAGAGGTTCTGCAGGCGGCCTCAAGACGGCCCGAGTCGCCCCTAACACGGCCCAAGAGGGCTTCAAGAGGCTCTCTAGGAGAGCTCGAGGAGGTCAAAACCATTGAAATTCAGCAGGTTTTGAAGAATTTGGAGGATCTTGCCCATTGGGGTTTACGACCGCCCAAGACGGCCCAAGGCGCTTTCGAGATCGCTTGAAGACAGCCCATGAGGTCCCCAGGAGGGCCACGAGCCGGCCAAAGAAGGCCCCAAGATCGCCCAAGAGGGCCCCAAGACGGTCATCACGGGGTCCAAGAAGGCAACAAGACTGCCCATATAGCCCCCATGACGGCCTCCGAATGCGTCGGACGTCTGAATCGCCTCCAACAGAGGCCCCCAAGAGGCGCCCCAGGGGACCCCAAGGGCCCCCCAAGGAGCTCCCAGGAAACCCCAAGGAGGCCCCAAGCAGCTTTCTCCTCATCGCTCTCATTTTCTCTCTCACCTCCATTCTTTTTCCTTGTAAATAACTTCTCCCTGTCGCACCCCGAGGCCAGTTGTCAGGGCGGGCCGGGCGTTTCGCCTTGGACTTCCTCGCCATTTATGACTCTGAAGCTTAACATTTTGCAACAATTTCACACATGGAGGGCGGGCCGTTTTCAAAATGTGGCTCTCGCCTTAACGCCGCGCACATTCGTTTCAAACACCTCCAAGAGTTGCACGGATTGAGGGCGAACCGTTTTCAATATGTGACTCTCGCCTTAGCGCCGCGCGCATTCGTTTAGAGTTTCACGGATTGTTGGCGGTTCCTTTTCAACATGTGGCTCTCGCCTTAGCGCCGCGCACATTTATTCTCTACAATTTGCGAAAGTTTCACAGGTTCCCATGATCAGCGTACCAGAATTGGTGTTTCGGAAGGACTCAGGATTATGCGGGTGCAACAGTTGTTGGTGCAGTCCCAATAATGGCGATCTGTCACGACTCGGGATCGTCGAAACGCAACAGTCAGGTTGATCCATGGGGTTGGAATCCCGAGAACAATGTTTGTGCATGCTTCAGGTTCTTCAATGGGCTGTCTTCCAACGAGGCAATCCCCTCAATGGAAATGAGCCGTTGTAGGGGCCTCTGAAGAGGGAGCTTGGAGGGAGGGGTTATTCCAACATCGTTGATAACTCTTGGGCTTACTCTGGTCCTCCTCCTCCTCTTCCCTACCACGCGAACGAAACCGATGTTTGAATCACGATGGTCCCCAATTCGGGCCACTTGCTGAGCTGCCACGGGGTTCCTGAACAGACCACTTGTTGGACTTGCGCTGTTGCTACACTCGGTCTCCTTCCTGTAGCGCTGTTGCACTGGCTCGGTGGCGAGATTTGCCGCATGGAACTGGATATTGTTGAACACATTATCAAACGTACTGGGGGAATGAAGAGCACAATCAAACAAACTTCCCGGTATTGGAATGTGAACCGTGGATCGTGTACGATGTATGGCCTCTGTGCAAGTAGTCACGCGATATACTATGATAGTTCTACGGCCGCGAAAGCTGGTTCTATCACGAGCATCATTATTCACATCTGCTGCCGAGTGCTGGCTAACTCCAGACTCCAGACAATCAACCCTGGTTGTCCCGCGGCATGAGCGCAACAGTACAACAACACACTAACGTTCACGAGCGCGGCACTAAACATCTGGTATACGATCCACGGCCCCCCCACTTGCTGGGAGTGAGCAAGCGTGTAAGATGATCGGCTGTCACGCTTTCCCTCCCCCCCTGGAGTCCAAAGTCCCACTTGAGGGCAAGGGGAGTCTGAGCTCGTGGTTTTAAACGTCTAAACATTAACTCGACGTTCCTCCGACATGCCCTAAGACGGCCCCACGAAGGCTCGAACTGGTCTGGGAGCTGCCCAGGGGTATCCCCGACTGGCTACATTCGCTAAACATCCAGATTTGTGTTCGCTGATGTTGATCTTGTCGCCAGCGATGGGCTAATGAAGCCCCGAGGGCGCCAGAATAGCGTCCTAAGGGAGCCCCAAGCAACCATATTTCGGGCTCCAGAGAAGCAGCGCTTGTGACGTACCATGGGGTAGCTGTACGTTGGGTATCGAGGGCTTGGGGTATGCATATTGACCTGCTTGTTGCACGGTGTTGCAGAAGCGGGGCCTGCTGCGGGCCGTCTCACGTTTCAGAAGAACACACCGCCAGACGTGCACGATCTGCGCTGCCCTCACCTCCGCCGTGCCTCCCGGGAGCCTTCGAAAGGAGCGGCACTTGCGCACTTCGCCGCCTCCAGAGGAGCTGCGAAGTCTCGGCTGGATCCGCCTGGCCCCCGACTCCGCTTGACCTCCCACGAGCCCACGAACATTGCAACGCTCGCGCACTTCGCGCCCCCTCGGGAATGCGAGGTCTCGGGTGCTCCGCCACTCCGCAGCGCCTCCAACGAGCCCACGAAAGTGGCGACCATCGAGCAGCTCGCAATTCCCCGAGGAGCTGCGAGGTCTCGGGTACTCCGCTACTCCGCAGTGCCGTCCAGGAGCCCACGAAAGTGGCGACGATTGCGCAGTTCGCAACCACCCAAAGTGCTGCGAGGTCTCGTGTACTCCGCTACTCCGCCGTGCCTCCCAAGAGCCCACGACGCAGCCCACCGGGGGGCTGCGAGGTCTCAATTACTCCGCGGCTCCGCCGTGCCTTGCAGTAGCCCACGAAAGTGGCGACATTTGTGCAGTTCGCGGCCACCCAGCGAGCTGCGAGGTCTCGGGTGCTCCGCTCCACAGCCGTGCCTCCCAGGAGCCCACGAAAGATGCGGGGATGATGTGTATGTTCACCGCAAGAGAGAGAGAGAGAGAGAGAGAGAGAGAGCAAGAGAGAGAGAGAGAGGGAGAGAGCGAGGGTGGTAGAGAGAGAGAGAGAGAGAAACATAAAGAAAGAGAGAGAGAGGGATATTGAGAAAGAGAGAGACGGCGAGCGAGGGAGACAGACACGTCACGTACACTACCCACAAAATTCGACCAACCCGCCCACGTGGAATAGCTACTGGGGCAGCGTGGGGGTGGGAGTCACATCCAGGAGGCGTCGGATCGAACCCCCAGCACGACTACGACGTACACGGCGGCGCACAGAGAGGCCCCCGCCTAACCAGGCTGCGAAACCTCGTGTTGTCGTTGTCCTGCGATGGCCACCCTCTTCCTCCTCCTCCTCCTCCTCCTCCTGCTCCTCCTCCTCCTCCTCCGCCGCCTCCTCCTCCTCCTCCCTCCTCCTCCCTCCTCCTCCTCCTCCTCCACGGCCCACGGGCCACCTCCTCCTCTGAACAGGAGCGATCGGGCAGGAGCAGCTCCGGGCCGAGCCATCGAGCAGCGATCCGGCAGAGAGCAGCTCCCGCCGGAGCCGTCGGGCTCGAGCCGGCGACGCGCCGCCGACAGAGAGCGGCGGGGCGCGCCGCCGAGGGCGGACCCGCAGGCTCCCGGGCGGGAGTGGGCGGCCGGAGGTCGCTGCCCGGCCCCCCGGAGCGTGTGCCCCCCCCGCGCTGCTCCTGCGGTCGGGCCGCCGAGAGAAGGAGCGCCACGCCAAGAGCGGAGCCCCTCCATTGGCCCCGTGAGCGCCTCCGTGCCCCCCGGGGAGGGCAGGAGGAACGGCACGGGAGGAAGCTGAGGAACATCGAGCCCCCTCCGAACCCAAGCTGCTCCTCATTCCAGCGTCTTGACTGCAATCTTCCTCCTCCTCCTCCTCCTCCTCCTCCTCCTCCTCGCCGAACACCCAACCATTTCCCCCGCTGGCTCACCCTCCTTTCCCCTCGTCTCCTGCTCCCCACCTGTCAGGGGGTGGGCTCCCAGTGGGGCCGGTCGAGGTACTGCGTGCGGCTGTTGAACTTCTCGGTGCTGCAGCCTGGGGGGAAAGGGCAGCAATAACGATGGGAGAAGCAATGGCACGGCCTAATGCGCAGACCCCGTCACATCGTGATTAACATTACGATTAGGTCGGGCCTGTCCCCCTACGGGGGATTATGGACGAAAAATAAAAATACTCAAAAGATGTCCCCAAATGGTCAAACAATCCTCCCCATATTATTTTTTGATAATTTTTGAATATCCCCCCTGTGATTAGAGGGACAGGCCCGACTTAAGGCAACAAGAACGAGAGGAGGAGCAATGGCACGGATTAGTGCCCAGATCCCCTCGCATCGTGATCAACATTACACGTCGGTCGGAAGAAGTAGGTAAACGCATGAAGTAGGAAGGCGGATAAAGTAGAGTGGGCCCAGGCCCTCCCAGAGAATGACAAAACACAGCAACAGAAAGCCGAGCCGTGAAGTAGGAAGTCGCATGAAGTAGATTGGGACGTTGGAATCCAAAAATACCTACTTTCAACGACCGGCGTGTACGACGATTGATCCGTGGCGATTTTCGGCTCCTGGGGACCCATGCCAAGCCCCTGGAGGGTTCAGGAACCTCTCAAGACTAAAAACCGCCCCTGGGCCCTCTGGGGGCAGGGGTCGCGGAAAAACAACAGGCAACTCCATGGCAACCCCCCTTGTTGCTGCGCACAAGCGCTCCCGAGAAATGGTCCAACCTGCCCTGAGCAGGCTCGCGGAACACGTCGGGGCGGCCTCGGCGCCCATCGCCGCGCGGTGGGCAGATCGCGATGGGAACCCTCAGGGACCCCGAGGAGCCCTGGGCCCGCCCCGCAAGCGGGGATCTGCAGCAGCACGCCTACCGATTTCTCTGCGGCGCCCGGGTGCGCCCCTCGCTTGGTACGGCGACGCCCCGGCTCTTGCGGCGCAGCCGGGGTGCCGCCGTAGGTCGGCAGCGGGCGCCGCAAGTGCAGCCGGTGTGCTGCCAAAACGAGCGCGGGCGCTCAGGAACGCACGCGTTTTTGTTGAGGGGGGGGAGCGCGGCGAGTCCAGGCCACGAGGAGCATCCCCAACCTGGATCTACGGAGCGGCCAGGGACTTTTTGCTAGCCCCCTGTGGGCCCAGGACGGTCCTCGTTTTCCAGCGTCTTGAGTGCACGGCCGCCCCGCACGATGAGGACGCACGCGCGGCGAGGATGCAAGGGCCTCGGGGGGCCGTGCCGGCACTTTGTGGGCGGGGCTGACCAGCGAAACCGGCGCCAGGGATGGGCCGACGGGGGAAGGATGCAAGGGCAGCCTTGGGAAGCCGCTCACCCAAACCATGCGGGTGCATCGTGGGGTATGGAATAAGGCACGACTGCCTCGAAGCAGCTGGCACGCGTGCCTCGCCAACGGGCAGAGAGGAGGCCCGTCGCCCCGCGGAAGGTCTCTGATCACCCCGAGGCGCAGGCCGGCCGGAGTGGGCACGGAACGTGCGCCACACCCGCCCGCCCGCCCGCTCGCCTGCCTCGTGCCGTCGCCCCGCCCTGGCCTGCAACGCCCCACGGCCTCTGGCCAAGAGCGTTCCAACATGGCCCACGTTTGGTCCCCCGACGGCCCGAGGAGCGCCCGAGACGGTCCCGGAGGGTTCCAAGAGGACATCGTGAAGCCCGAAGACGCAGCAATGATCGAGTTCGCGCGGGCCACCTGGCGATTTTGGCGGTGCCGCCTTTGTGAGCTGCCGATCGCCCGGACGGCCCATGAGGCCCCAAGATCACTCCAAAACGGCGCAGAAAGCCCTCAAGAGGGCCCCAAAATGGCCCAAGATGGCCCTGAGACGGCCCAAGAGGCCTGAACAGACATGTCGAGCTCTCGGCCCAAAGAGGCGCCCAGGAAGCCCCACGAGGCCCCAAGAGCCCCCCAAGAGGTCAGAGGCTCCCCAGAGGCTTCAAACCTGCTCCCCAGAGGCTCCCGAGAGCCCTCCGAAGAGACCCCAAGAAGCATCCATGATGACCCTGACCCACAACCCATATACGTTTCGTAACTCTGCTGGAGATCTCTTGAGCCATCTTGGCGCCCTCTGGGACAGTCTATCGGCTCTCTTCGACAGGGTGCGAGCCACATCTCCAAACATGGCCTCGAATCTATTCCTGCCTGCCCTACCGTTCCCCCTGGGCACGAAGACGCTACCACGCAGCCACAGTCATGCGAAATGGGCCGGCGGAGTGAGCGAAGCGATTAAAGCACACAACACAATTCGCACAAGCGATTGGAGGTCCGAGCAGACTTCTTGGAAGATTTTCCCCTCTTCTCAACACCTTTTCCCCTCTTCTCAACACCCCTCCCCGAGCGTGCGAAAAACGGGCCGGGCGCAACGCTAGAGGCGCCGCCCAGGGATGCAGGGATGGCTTGTCCAGCGTCAGCCCACGAATTCCGCGCGGACGTCCGACAACTTTAGTTCGTGCAGCATTCTGCCACGCCTTCGGTCTGTGTAGCTCTCTTGCCATCAGTGCGCTGGCGGGCAGAGTCCGATCCGCGGGTCCACGAAGGGCGGCTCGCGCACACAAGTTCTCTGAGTGAAGCCTATCTGGGCATCTGTGCGGCCCGGTTCAACGCACAAGAGGAAGCGGGCCTCGACGCCCCTCCTTCTGGAAGGCCCTCCCCTCCTCCCTCCTGCATCCGGACCTCCTGGACCTCCACCTCCACCTCCACCTCCACCACCTCCTCCTCCTGCTCCACCTCCTCCTCCTCCTCCTCCTCCTCCTCTTTCCTCTTCTTCCTCCTCCTCCTCCTCCTCCTCCCTCCCTCCCTCCCTCCGTCAGTCCTTCTCCTCCTCCTCCTCCTCCTCCTCCTTCTCCTGTCTCCTCCTCCTGTCTCCTCCTCCTCCTCCTCTTCCTCCTCCTCCTCCTTCCTCCTCCTCGTCCTCCTCTTCCTCCTCCTCCTTTTCCTCCTCCTCCTTCCTCCTTCCTCCTTCCTCCTTCTCGTCCTCGTTCTCGTCCTCGTCCTCGTCGTCCTCGTCGTCCTCGTCGTCCTCGTCGTCCGTCGTCGTCCTCGTCGTCCTCGTCGTCCTCGTCGTCCTCGTCGTCCTCGTCGTCCTCGTCGTCCTCGTCGTCCTCGTCGTCCTCGTCGTCCTCGTCCTCCTCCTCCTCCTCCTCCTCCTCCTCCTCCTCCTCCTCCTCCCCCTCCTCCACTCAAGGCACGAGGGGCCCAAGTCTGGGCTCATTCGTCCCCTCGCCGCAGGCGGCGCCGCGCGCCATGGCGGCGCCGCGCGCCATGGCGGCGCCGAGGCCTGCTGTTTGAGCAGCGGCCGCCGGTGCGGCCGCCTTGCAGGTGGGGCTCAATATGCCCGACGGCAGGGCTGAACCGAAAGGGTGCTTTTCGTTTTCGCCTTGTTTTCGTTTTCCCTCCTGTTTGTCTTCGATCAGCCTTTGCCGCAAAACTGACCATCGCTCGGACGTTTATTCCATGTGTTTTTGTTCGGTTTCGTGCGTGGTTTTTGTCGCCAAATGGTCAAGGATGCTCCTCGATGGTCCTCGCCGAAGGAAAAATGCACACGTCCGAGCGATGCCAAGTCCAGAACGGCTCGCTGAAGGAGGGAGAGGAGCAGTGCAGCAGAAGACTCGCAACACGACTCGAAGGTGATGGGGCAGCTCCAAGCCCTGGGCTACTCATCGGGGGCTGCTGGACGATTGAGGAGGACGAGCAGCCGCCTCTCCCTCCCTCTTCCTCCTTCTCTCCCCCGTCTTGGGCCCAGCGTTTGTGCCCGCCGTGCGTTCTCAACTCGCCTCCATGATGGTCCTGTGAAGATCGATCGTGCGCGCCCTCTCACCAAGGCGGTTTGTGTACGTCTCAGGCTCGTCTGTCGACCGCTCGGGTCCATTCGGATCCTCCTTCCCTCCCCCCCTCCCCTCTTTTTCCCGTCTCACCTCTCCCACTCCCCTCCCCTGCAGTGTGCCTCCCTGCCGTCCGAAGGAGGAGGGTGACGAGGACGAGGACGCGGACTTTGTGGGCCCCGGAAACGGCAAGGCCGTTTTTTCACCGTTTCCCAAAAAATGTCCCTTGAAAATGGAAACGGCAAAAAAACGGCGACTGGAAACGGCAAAAAAACGGCTCCAAGATTGGAACCGGAGCCGGAACCGGTCAAAAAACGGCGACGGAACCGGTAAAAAAACGGCGTTGGAACAGGCAAAAAACCGGCAAAACGGAACCGGTAAAAAAACGGCCCTGTCGTTTCCAGGGCCCACTAAGGACGCGGACCTTCCTCCTCATCCTCCTTCTGCTTCTCCCCTCCTCTTCCTCCTGGCTCGAAGGTCATCCTGCAACATCCGGTGCTCTGACTGACCCCCGTTTGCGCTGAAGCCCCGAGCTGCGCGTGGCACCGGCCCTCTGGCGGGGCGCAGAGGGCCCCCCCCCGGGAGAATAACAGCTTTCCAGGGGTGCGTTGAAACCGGGCCTGCCCCCCTACAGGGAGATTCCCGACGAAAAATAAAAGACACCCCCCAACATAACAAAATAATAATCCAAAAATAGTCAGGGAGCTAGTTTTTGACTATTTTCTGACCTTTTTGGGGTATTTTTGGGGCATTTTTTTTTCTCGTCGAAAGTCCCCCTGCAGGGGGACACGCCCGACTTAAGGGTGCGTGCCGAAGAAACGTCCCGGGGACTCCCCCTGGGGGTGGTGATGTTCCATCCCGGGGCCGTCTCCGACGGCCCCCCGGGGCCCGCGGGCGGCTCCCGGACGCCAGGAAGCTCTCGCAATCGCTCGGACGTCCATCCCCTGTGCTTTTTTGTCGGTTTCGTGCGCGGTCTTTTTCGCCACATGATCGACCTCAACAGTCCCCGCCGAGAAAAGAAAAGCACACGCCCGAGCGATGCCGAGGGAAGCGGCGCGAAGAGGAAGTCGACGAAGACACGCAGATCGACGATCGAAGCCGCAGTGCTCTTCCAAGGCAAGTGTGGGGCACTGGGGTTAAGTCGGGCCTGTCCCCCTACAAATCCAAACATAGTCCAAAAATAGCCTGGGGACTATGTTTTGAGTATTTTTTGACATCTTTTTAAATCGCCCACAATCCCCCTGTAGGGGGACAAGCCCGACCTAACACTGGGGCTGTCAGCCCACGGCCCAAGGCCTGCACCGAGAGAGCCGCGCGTCCTGGCTGCCGGGCTCCCTCCTCCCTCCCTCGCTGCCCCCTGCCCTCCCTCCCTCCCTCCTCCCTCCCTCCCCCTCCTCCCTCCCTCCCTCCTCACTCTCTCCCTCTCACTCCTCCCTCACTCCCTTCCTCCTCCCTCCCTCCCCTCCTCCCTCCCTCCCTCCCTCCCTCCTCCCTCCCTCCCTGCCCCCTGCCCTCCCCCCCCTCCCTCCCGGGCGATCATCGGCTGCAGGCCTGCGGGGACCATGGAGTACGGGTCGCAGTACGTGCAGCTATCGCAGTCCTCTATGTCTCCCTCCCTCCCCCTCTCTCTCTCTGTTTCTCTGTTTCTCTGTTTCTCTCTCTCTCTCTCTCTCTCCCTCTTTCACCCATCTCCTCATATCCCTTCCCCTCTCCCCCTATCCCTCCCGTTCCCCCTCTATCCCTCCCCCTCGCTGGTTGTCCCCCCCATCCCTCGCCTCTCCCTGTATACTCTCGCTCTCTATGTTTTTGTTGTTGTTTCGAGGTGTTGCTCAACTCCCTCTCTGTATACTCTCCCTCTCTATCTCTCTTGACGACGACGGCGACGACGACGCCGACCCACGCCTCTGGGTCTGAGCCCGCTGTCTGAATGGATCCTCCGTCGTGCAGGAAGAGGAAGGTGAAAATCATGCCCACTGGTACTGCCTTCCACAACGGCCCAGTTCGAGAAAGGCTACCTGTAAGTCTCGCTCTCTCTTTCATTCGTTCTTTTTTAGTGTCTCTCTCTCTCTCTGTCTCCCTCTCCCCTGCTTCTGGCCTTTGTCTCCTATGCCCCCCCCCTCTACACTATATGTATGTCTGTATGTATGTACGTAGGTACGTATCTCTGTATGCATGTACGCATGAACGTATGTGTATATATATATGTATATGTATGTATGCCTCTCTATCTCTATGTATATGCGTACGGATGCATGCATGCACAGATGCATACATATAGATATGTATGGATGCATGCATGTATGTATCTATATATGATCGATACCCGCGCACGCTACGCGAGCTTAGGTCCTCGTCAACTCCGAAGACTTTATCCCTTATCCTCATCACTTTAACCACATCCACTCCCATGGCAGGCGCGCAATGCCGGAGGCCACGCAAGCGGGAATGGGGGCCCCAGTCGCCCGAGACGTCCCCAAGGAAGGACCCAAGTCCAAAAACCGTGCGGTGACCCCGGATCTCCACGGATTCATCGCGCGGTGCGGTCCCTTAGATCGAACGTGCCGAACAACAAGTCGCAGCATCGCAGAGATGACCACTGGAGCCCTGGATTCAATCTGGCTGCTTCATGTTTCGAGGTCCTGGGGCCTGAAACCGGGCGGAACAGCCCGCCGAGAAAAGATTGCAACGTCCCCCAACCCCCCTGCCGCGAGGGGCCCACCCGCATAGCATCGCTCAGGAGAGCCTTCGCCACCACGTGCGGATGGTACCAAGGTTGCGGCGGCCAGCTCGAGCCAGAGGGCTAGCAAGGTCTAGAACCAGAGCGCCACGTGCAGGAGGAGCAGGGGAAGAATCCGGAAGAGGTGGAGGAGGAAACAGAGGAGGAGTGAGAGCAGGAGGGGAGGAGAAGGAGGAGGAGGAGGAGGAGGAGAAGGAGGAGAAGGAGGAGGAGGACGGGGAGGAGGAGGAGGGGAGCTCGAGCCAGCCAGAGGCAGAAGACCAGGAGGAACATGGCGGACGCCTGTTGAGGCAGTGTCTCTCGAGAGTTCCAGAAGAATCGACTACCAAATGGAGGAGGAGGAGGAGGAGGAGGAGGAGGGGGAGGAGGAGGAGGTGAATGAGGAGAGTGCGACGGAGGCGAGTGCGAAAAAGGAGGATGAGGACACTCGACAGGAGAATGGAAAGGGCGACAGAGGAAGACGGGGACAGAAGAGAAAACAGCAGACGGGGATGGATGACACAGGACGGGACGGATGAACTGCAAACGCAGTAGCGCGCAAGTCCTTGCCATCGCCGACCCTCGCGCTGTCCGTCTGCTCCAGCTCGACTCGCGAACGGGGAGGTGGGGATACGGACCCAGCCAACGCGATCTTCCTCGGCCACCGCCTCGCCCTCCTCCTCCTCCTCCTCCTCCGCCTCCTCCTCGCCCTCTTCCTCCTCGCTCCTCCTCCTCTCCTCGCTCTCCTCTCTCTCCTCCTCCTCCTCCTCTCCTCCTCCTCGCTCCTCCTCTTCCTCGCTCTCCTCTCCTCCTCCTCCTCCTCCTCGCTCCTCCTCCTCCTCGCTCCTCCTCGCTCCTCCTCGCTCCTCCTCGCTCCTCCTCCTCCTCCTCGCTCCTCCTCCTCCGCCTCCGCCTCCTCTCTTCTCCGCCTCCTCCTCCGCCCCCTCCTCCTCGCTCCTCCTCCTCCGCCTCCGCCTCCTCTCTTCTCCGCCTCCTCCTCCGCCCCCTCCTCTCGAGGCGTGCCCCGGCGGGGCGGCCCGGGCGTGCCGCCGGAGGCTCTCTCTCTCTCTCGCAGCAGGGCCGGACCTGGACGTGTTTTTTTGTTGTTTTTGTTTTGTTTTGTTTGTTTTGTTTTTGTCGGCTGGGTTTTCGTTTTGCTTCTAGTGCTGCTCAACCTCTCGTTTTACCTTCGTGTTGTCTTTCGTTTCCTCTTCGCTTCGTTCTTCGTTTCGTCTTCGCTTTGTGTGTTCGTCGTGTTTTTGCTGTCCTGTGCCTCCCTGCCGAGACGAGACACAAGACACCGCCGGCGTCCAGCACCACAAGACGGCGTTTGGGTCCAGCCCTGTCTCACGGGTTATGACCCCGAGTCTGACACTTGGCCAGAGCCTCGCGCATGGAGGGCGGGCCGTTCGCAACATGGGGCTCTGCGCTTCACGCGCTTCACGCATGGAGGGCGGGTCGTTCTCAAGATGCGGCTCGCGCCTCAGCGCCGCGCACATTCGCGTTAGCAATGCGCAAGCGCTTCACGCGCTGGAGGGCGGGCCGTTTTCTAAAGGTGGCTCTCGCCTTAGCGCAGCGCACATTCGTGTTAACAATGTGCAAGAACTTCACGCGCTGTAGGGCGGGCCGTTTTCCAAATTTGCCTCTCGCATTACCGCCGCGAGCACTCGTGTTAGCATTGTGCAAGAACTTCACGCGCTGGAGGGCGGGCCGTTTTCAAAATGCGGCTGTCGCATTAGCGCCGTGCATACTCGTGTTAGCAGTGTGCAAGCGCTTCACGCGCTGGAGGGCGGGCCGTTTTCCAAATGTGGCTCTCGCATCAGCGCCGCGCACGTGCGTGTTAGCAGCGTGCAAGAACTTCACGCGCTGGAGGGCGGGCCGCTTTCCAAGTGTGGCCCTCGCCTCAGCACCGCGCGCATTTCACTTCAAACGTCTCGGACGTTCGTGAGAACGGAGGGCTTCCTCTTCTGGCGCAGCCCCGTCGTCTGTCCCCTCTTTGCCGCCCATCCCGCTCTCCCTCTGAGCCTCCCTCTCTCGGTTCCATGCCCCGTGTGGAGCCCGCCTCTCTTTTTGGGGGGCCCACCCACGTCGAACAGGAGGAGGAGGAGGAGGAGGAGGAGGAGGAG